TGACTGTTTTTCTGCCCCAGGGAACAATCAGTGTTGGAGTGGATGCTACTGACCTTTTTGATCGCTATGATGAAGAGTATGAAGATGTATCTGGAAGCGGCTTTCCACAGATTGAAATTAATAAAATGCACATATCCCAGTCCATTGAGGTAAAGCACACAAACACCTCTGTGAGTAAGGCAAGGGCTTGAGTTAATGAGGCACAGCATACCAAGCAGCTGGAATGAGAGTCTGCTCAGGGTTTTTCTCATCTTTATTTATGAAAGGACGCAATTAGCCACTTGAAGAGAAAAAAAAAAAAAAAAAGAGCTCTAGTCAGCCTCGTTCGTTACTGCTTTGCCTATATGTCAGCTAGCATGAGTGCTAGTTTTTGGGTGTCTCCAGTTAAGAAGTATTAACAAGCAGGGAGAAACAGAACCCTTGATCATGGTAGTTTTAGGAAAAAGCAAGCCTCTGGAAAATTGTGAGAACCAATTTTATTTAAAAAGCACACACTATTATTTGCTAAAAGGTTATAGAAGCTCTGCATGGTGAACTTTGGTGTCACTAAGTTGTCACCCTTCTGCCCACTTTTGGATGTGGGAAAGGCAGGCTATTCTTTTTTTTTTTCTTTAAGAATTATTTTACTGGGACTAGCAGTTAGCCTAATGGCTATGTTGTTGAACTCCCGTGTAGTCAACCACTGTTCGCGTCCCGGACCCGGTGGCTTAAACTCACGCCGGGCACGTGTGCGTGCGTGCCCAAGATCCCAAGAGGAGAAGAGGAGGAGGGATTGTGGTGTGGCCATCCCTCCTGGGGAGTGATTTCTCGCTTTCTGTCTCTCTGTCTCTTTCCGTCTTTCTGGCAAGCACACACGCCCTATAGCAAAAACCTCTCCAAAAAAAGAAAAAAAAATTATTTTAATTTAACTTTATTTATTTATTTATACATCCATACATACATACATACTTTTTTTTGGACCAGAGAGGGACAGAGCAAGAGAGAGAGAGACGGTGAGAAATCAAGCCGCCAGGTCTAAGACCCAAACCACAGTTGGCCATGTGGGAGTCCAGCACCCTGAACCACCACGCTACCTGCTGGTCCCCAAGGCAGGCTATTCTAATGAGGGTAACAGTAGGTTTCTGCTCATTCATTTATCTTCAAGTGCATCAGCCTGGAGTATGGAGTTTGAACTCAAGGATACTTGCTCCCCTCTTGGAGCTTCTGGGATCAGATACTATAGCCATAGAGAATGTCCAGTCCCCAGGCCCTGAGTAAGGACAAAGGAGGCCTGACATCCCATAGTAGGAAGGGACACAGCGAAGTCATGTACAATGCAATACTGATGGTGCACTAAGAACCCAGCATTTGTCACTGTGTTTCCACCTGGTTTTTGCAATTTGGGCTTTAAAGCTTTGGCAGGACGTATTGCCTTCACAACCACATGTAGGCCCCGTAACAAAGTGAAAGAAGAAAGAAAGAAGTTGAGGGAGGTAGTTACACATTCCTCTATACTTCTGAGCTGAAGGGTCTTCTGCATCTTGGGCATTATACTCATAATGTATTCACTGAGCTATGAGGTCTACTCACAGCCTGGTGGTTAAGGGAACTAGTTCCTGCATGGCCAACCACCATGAGTCCTGGACCTGGCGGCTCGAGAAATAGTCCAGGTGTAGGTATGTGTGTCTAAGCTCCAAAAGGAGGGAGAACTGGAGAAGGGATTGTGGCATGACTACGCCCCCTGAGGGCGTGATGCTTTCTCCATCTCCTTTTGTATGTGTCTCTCTCTCTGGCAAACACACATGCTCTCTGGCAGAAATTTTTTTAGAAAGAAAAGGTTGCTAGTGTTGGTACTTCCTATGCCCTCATTCATTTATTACCAGCAACTATCATTTCCTAGGCACCCTTGACAGCCACAGACACAGCCATCCTCTCTGGAAGCCTCTCAACCCAGAATGGAAATGGAGGGGGCTCCATTAACTTTGCTCTCAGACGAGTCACTTCTGCAAAGGGATGGGGAGAGGTAAGAGCCGATTGGCTGGATTATGTTTTCCGTACAGAGCCTTATTTCTAAACATTTACATTCTAGAAGCTAACCCTCAAAATGATTGGGACCAGCAGATGGTGTAATGGTTATGTCGCTGGATTCCCATGTAGTCAACCGTGATTCTAGTCCTGGACCCAGCAGCTTAAAACTCAGCGTCAGCACATGTGCGTTCATGCCCCCAAATCGCCAGAGGTGAATGAAGGAAAAGGGATTACGGCATAGCCATTACCCCTGAGGAGTGATTTCGTGCTTTCTGTCTCACTGGCTAGCGCACACACCCTATAGCAAAAATCTCTCTTTAAAAAAAAAAAATGACCAAAGGTGGCCACAGTATGTGTAACAGGGTACTGAGTGTTAAACTTCCATAAGTTTACTGGCCCCAAGAGAAAAACGTCTCTTATCTGAGAAGAACGCCTGTCAGTCTGCTGAGCAATTTAAAGTTAGGACAGAAAAACAAAATGTTAACCTCCAGACTCCCAGGCTTGAGACACTTCACATCTTGCTCCCTTTGAGCACAAGCCCGTGGACTAACTACCTCTCCCGACGCAGTCTGGAAGGTAGATGCCTGTTTCAACGCTCTGGTCCACTGACTGCTGGTCATTTAACAGCTAGTTCTGCTGAGCAAATTGAACTGTATCAAATTAACATTGAGGAGTTGCCTTGAAAGTCACCCAGACTAGTAAATGAGGCAGCCACAACTGGCTGCAACTTCCAAGGCCGTGTGCTTGTGGAACTGCTGATGGGCTCTAACATCAGACCCCTGAGGACTGTCTCCACTCACCTGTGAGAACTGTGGAGCAGCGTGAAAATGCAGAAGAGCTGGCACTACAGGGTGGGGGCCCCCAACACCTCATTGCAGCGGGTGCTCTCCAGATGGTGGCCCCACTGAGGAAGGGGCATGGGGAGCCAGTCCATCTCCTCTGACTTCTGAGCAAGGTAAGGATCAGAAACAGGCAGTTTTTTTCTTTAAAGGGGTCCCTTTCTGAAACATGTATCATTGAAATCCAGGCCTCATTTGGATTACGGGCAGTAGTCACCTCAGTTTGGTGAAGTTAAGATGATTTATCCAGAATCTTCCACCTCTCACTTTTAGAAGCCTGACAAAAGCAATGATTAAGGAAGGGAATTATAACCATAGTTGCATGTGAGACCTGGGTAGTTGCTCTGAGATAAAGTCACCATTAATGCTTTCTCTCTTTCTTTTTTGAACAGTTGGAATTTGGAGCTGGAGACCTACAGGGGCCTTTATTTGGTCTCAAGCTGTTCCGTAATCTCACACCAAGATGGTAAATATAAGAGATAAATCCCCTTTGATGGTCTGTTGATTTAGTAGACTGGAATCTGTATGCGCTTCTCATCAAGGTCATTTGAGTTATCCTGTCAGCCTGCAAAGTTGCTGAGCATGTTAAGGGCAACGGGGTGGTGCTGACCTGTGGTCCAGGCGGTATGGAAGCCAGAAAGCACTGGATTGTGGGGGAGCTGACCTGTCCCAGCACCCAGGCCAGGCTTCACTTGTGCCCTGTTTGCCTTTGCCTCACTCACAATGGGCTGTGAGGGCCAGGAGGCAAAGGAAAGCGCTTTCACAGCAGTCTGAAATACTTATAGACTTCGGAACATTTATTTGTGCCAGAGAATGCTGGACTGCCAAGTTAGTGGTTTGATTTCCACAGGCCAGAGCTTTAGCCCCACCTCTACATCCCATCACGTCTATGGCTGCAGTGACATATACTCCTAGAACCATACTTCCCTGTCCTTTCCAGAATGACAACAGTGCCCTTGTTTCCCATATGGTGGTGAACGGGGTATCTGTGTTTACTCAGATCAAATCATTGGGAGGAAGGTAAAAAAAAACTCTCCGGAGGAAAAAGATAAAGCTAAGGGAGTGTTAGAATGGAGTACATGATGGATGAGTCATCTCACCTGCAGTGGGACGTGTATCTGCGTGCCTGCCTGGTTCTGCAAGATAGGACCCCGTCCCTGCCCGCCAGCCTGGTTATTCACTCAGTGCACAGGGACCCAGACAGTTCGGCAAGGCAGGCAGGCAGAGGAGAGGAAGAGGAGTGTTGTGAGGGAAGGCAGCGTGAGCAAGAGGGCATGCATGTGGGACGGGCAGCGACCTCAGCTTGTCCAGTGTAGGCAGACGCAGGAAAGTAGTGCTGCAGGCAGGGAACACAAAGGTGGACAGAAGTGGGGACATGACTGCCTTGGAGAGCACGGCTCATCAGGCCACCACTCTAGAATTAGAGTAAGTAGGAAGGAACAAAGGTTTCTACTTTGAAGCAGAATGTGAGGCAGTGCTGTTTGTGTACATGTCAGTGTTGTCCTAACCTTATCTGCTTAGAGTTGTCACCTTGGGTGCTGGTTAAAAGCAGAATCAGGTCATCTGAGGGAGGAACCTGGGAATCCAGTTTTTTCAAGCACCCCAGGTGATCAGACAAGTTTAGGAACCACTTCATTGAAGAAAATCTCCTGGCCATTTCGTTCTGATTGAGCTCAAAGAGTGTCCTTTGAGGGTCACCAAAGGTCTAGGTCAGGCTGGTCATCAGCTTTTTTTAAATTTTCAGATATATATATATATATATAGAGAGAGAGAGAGGCTTTTGCTATAGGGTGCATCCG